CATGCAGGGGGTAGGCATCTAGTCATTGAGATGGGACATCTAGGCATGCAGGGGGTAGGCATCTAGGCATTGAGATGGGACATCTAGGCATGCAGGGGGTAGGCATCTAGGCATTGAGGTGGGACATCTAGGCATGCAGGGGGTAGGCATCTAGGCATTGAGATGGGACATCTAGGCATGCAGGGGGTAGGCATCTAGGCATTGAGGTGGGACATCTAGGCATGCAGGGGGTAGGCATCTAGGCATTGAGGTAGGGGGAATCTAGGCATTGAGGTAGGGGGAATCTAGGCATTGAGGTAGGGAGCATCTAGGCATTTAAGTGGGGCATCTAGACATACAGATAGGGGGCATCTAGGCATTTAGGTGGGGCATCTAGACATGCAGATAGGGGGCATCTAGGCATTGAGGTAGGGGGCATCTAGGCATTTAAGTGGGGCATCTAGACATACAGATAGGGGGCATCTAGGCATTGAGGTAGGGGGAATCTAGACATGCAGATAGGGGGCATCTAGGCATTGAGGTAGGGGGAATCTAGACATACAGATAGGGGGAATCTAGACATGCAGATAGGGGGAATCTAGGCATTGAGGTAGGGGGAATCTAGACATGCAGATAGGGGGCATCTAGGCATTGAGGTAGGGGGAATCTAGGCATTGAGGTAGGGGGCATCTAGGCATTTAAGTGGGGCATCTAGACATGCAGATAGGGGGCATCTAGGCATTTAGGTGGGGCATCTAGACATGCAGATAGGGGGCATCTAGGCATTGAGGTAGGGGGAATCTAGGCATTGATCTCTGTGAATTTCAAGCCCTGTTACTTATTATTTCTATTTAATCATGCATTAACATTCCATGAATTTCTAATCTAACTGAAAATAAATGAAAGTATTTTCACCAAATTATCACAATATCTTACTCCTGTGCCATCACTGGTACCAGGAAAGGTAGGGATCAGTTGTATATCATCCCAATGTAGTAACCACTGCTTCCTTCTAGCTGTCTCTCTTCTGTATCGGATTCTGAAATCAGATTAAACTTATAACCATTAATGCATGTAACCATGCAGGGAAACTTATAATTATAAAAGTACTGTAAACTACTTTATTTTCACTTAGAATTTATTTTCGTTATTGTTTCTGAAGTGATGATTTACATACAGTTAAATAACAAATTTTTTTTCATATATTTTGCATTCAACTCATCCAAAAATAGATTTATTACAAAGCTAATATTAAGTAGTTTGACAGTAATGAAGATAATTTTTGTTTATTTTCACCTGACTCTGAATAGTGCAGACATGCTAACATTTCTTCTACTAGACATTTTAATTTTTCTAAATATGCAAATGAGCTAAAATGTGAAGGGACTGATTTTAGAAAATACATTGTTCAGTGTATAATATGTTATTTATGTTGCAATTTGTTGGACTACAAAAGTACAGTGAGACCTTAGGTTTTCTACAGATCAAACAAAGTGGTAATATCGTACAACTTTAAGTGTTATAAACCATTTTAATTAAATTCAATGAAAAAAGCCTAAACAAATTAGATCTGTTTCTCATCAGCATGCATGCTAGTTTCAAGGGCTTTGCTCTTAAAGGGGAACTGATCAATCCCAGGGATTGCACCAAAGGATCATGGGACACTATTGTTTATGTTGTTTACAAAGTTAATCTATCTTTTGTTATCCATTGTAATTTTAATCCAGAAAGTAAATTTGTTGTGAGATTAGGCTTAACTGGAAGTGCCCCTTTAAGATTTGTATATTTGAAACAAATACAAACAAGCCATGCATGCACTGTCCCCATCAGTTATCATATGTAAGATATATAGTTTTGTTTATAGTAAATTATGCTGGAACATAAACATGTCAGGAAAATGATTATGATGATTGTTTAACATTAAAATGATTGACATTTGTATCTGATCATCAAACAAGTTTCAAGAGATATTGCTCTGGAAAAGCATTTATTACAACAAAATCATGAATAAATGTATAATGAATATATAAAATTTGAACATAGTCAGTCAAAGCATGTCAGAGCTCTAGAAGTCCATTCATTAAAACAAAATGGCCGCTAGTCAGCCATTCTGAATCCGTTCTGAAAAATAAAATGACGAGCATCAGGAACCCTTAATGTATAATGTATGTACCAAGTTTGAACAAAACCCATCCATAAATGCCAGAAATGCTTGATATTTGATGATTGTTTAGCACGAAATGGCCACCATTCGGTCATTTTTAATAGGATCGGCAAACCAATATATATGTATATCTATGACATGATGTATGATAAATATTTAAAGTTTGAACATAATCAGTCAAAGCAAGTCAGAGAAATGGTACTAGAACCACATTCATTAAAACAAAATGGCCACCAGTCGGCCATTTTGAATCTTATCTGAAAAACAAAATGATGTGCACCAAGGTCCTATAATGTCCAATGTATATACCAAGTTTGAAGAAAATCCATCTGTAAACAGCTGAGAAATGCTTTTTTTGATTTTGATGATTTTTAGCACAAAAATGGCTGCCATTCGGCCATCTTGAATCAGATCATGAAACAAATTGATGTGCATATGTATAATATCATGTATGATGTATATGTGAAGTTTTATTATGATTGGTCCAGGCATTTCTAAGATACAAGTCTGGACATAAGTCCCCTTTTTCGAACTGCATCCGAACGGGGCCTAAAAAAAGGGGGAATGCACCTGCCATTGGTGGCATCGGTGTTCAAGCATGCACAGATCAAATAATATACTTAGAAAACTCAAAATCTAAAATATAGAAAAAAAGAAGAAACTTTGGACCAGAAACAGATTTTTCTTGGGTTTAAACCAAATTATTTTTAAAAATCTAAAATAAATAATTAAAGAACCTAATCAAACTGCTTTCACTACAAAAAAGGTTAAACTATATGAGTGAATTAAAACAATGAGTTTGATTTTTATGTTGAAAATAAGATGTAATGAAATGTGTGTAGTCATGGTTGCAGAATGATTGATGCAAAAAATTGGAAATAATAATAAAATTAGTCACATGGCATAATTGGACTTTGTATAGATAAATTACTGAAAGAATTGTGTGAAAGTTCATAGTTATACCATGTGATTGGGGGAATGTGAACAGATATACAATGTATATTGTACAACTTACATGAATAAAATTGCAAAAATGATGGCCACTATAGCGGCTACAATACCAGCAGCCATTGCAACAATCTGACCAACCGCTGAAAAATAAAGAAGAAAATTATTAACTATTTTTGTATATCTTATATAAATATCAATTCATGAACCACATGAAAAATTAAATGAAAGCAACACATTCTGATTATAGTACATCACAAAGCAGACTGTATTGCAGAGTTTATGTGTATAGCAAGTACAATAGAATTATTGTCTAATTCAGTGCTTCAATGATGATATAATAATAATAATAATAATATATATATATTATGATTTAATAGATGTATGCTGTCTATACTATGATTCAATTATCATATGCTGTCTATACTATGATTCAATCATTGTATGCTGTCTATACTATGATTCAATCATTGTATGCTGTCTATACTATATCATTGTTATAATGTTCTCTATGCTTTACTTCAATCTTTCTCTTTTGTCAATACATGTATTGACAATGATATTTAGATTGAAAACTTCTCACAATACACAAAAAGTTCACAAACTCGGCCCAAAAAAAGCAATATTCTCTTACCCCAACAATATTCACCATGGAACCCACATCTAGGCCTATCCTTGGGAATCTCTTTACCAGGCCAGTCAATAAATGTCCCTTCCATTCTTACCAAGGTGTAGTTTATCCCATTCATATATGCCACAGTTTTAAACACAGTTTTATTTTCTTCAATCGACTGAACATAAAACAAATAATTTGAACTTAAACTGTAAA